TTACTGTATTTGATTACAGACAGCACATATGAAATAAGGGCCTTCTCTTACTTTCCTCTTAAACTGTTCAACACATGATTCAATATATGTGGCTTTGACTTAAATTCTTTCTTATCTTTTATTCAAAAATTCTCTTTAGCTTCTGTATCCATTGATTTGTATTTTTCTGTGCGTTTCTGAAATAATTCTTTCTTCTGTTTTAAAGAAGGGTGGCTTTAGGGTCAAAGGGTGAATTTGTAACAAGACATTGAAAAAGCAAAAGCGAGAATGAGAAAGGGAATTGAAAGCTAAACTGCACAACCATGCAGAGAGAATTTATTCCTTGCTTAACTCTCCTTCTGAGCTTGAAGTATTGTAGAAAGAAAGGGAGCTTTTCAACGCAATTAAAGAGGATTTTACTCAGGCACACCAAATTTAGGATGAGTTGCTTAAGGATTAAAGTGCAAAAGATGCCACCTATCAAGATTTCAACCTGTGCGATCTGGAGTACACTAAATGTCAAATACGACTTACTGAAAGACAATGCTCAATTGAGCATAAAACCCTGGAACAGCCTGAAACGATTAGCCATGACACAAGGTCAACCAAATTGAGGCATTCAGGGATAACAAGGGCTTCAGGTTCTATAAAGACTTCCAGGTCTTCAGTCATGTCCAAGAGAATGGAAGCAGCACCTAGGGCTGCGAAGCTGAAAGCAGTAGTCCCACTTCAGCTACAACTAATGAGGCCCATAAGTCGTACAACAGAGTGGCAGCAATGAAGGCACATGCAAGATCAGATGGCTAGAGAAGAAGATGCTGTTGAGAAGGCTTCGTGCGAGGAGTACTCAAGCAGAGTGTGCCACAAAACAATGGTGGGTATTGGATATACCCAGTCCAGTGGAAAGAGGTACTGCCTTGTATCTACCTGGCCAGATCCCCAAAGAAGAGTGGCTTCCTCTTTAAAAGGCAGAGACCAGGGCCAAGAAGGAAGCAGCTAAGGGCAATTAACTTGCCTGACTTTGTTTCAGAATCAGATGTGTTTGAAGCTTGCATGCATGTTAAATATTATGTTATACTTAAATATGCACTGTACTGTTTTCTCCCCCTTTTACTTTCCATTTTTCTTTCCTCTTTTTCTTCCTCCTATAATCCCCTCATGCAAACTTTAAACCCCAGTTTTTGCATTACCAGAAGAAGAATCTTTTCCACCATTAGTTCCATTTTGATTCACTTGGTTTCATTGCACCAGTCCTATTGCAGGGCAAGAGTATTGTTCAAGACCTGTGTCATGAAGGAGAGGACTGATATGATGCGATACCTCATGTGATCAAAGCAAGGTGGGAGAAGTGGAGAACCAAACTTTATGTTCTTGAGCACCTTTCCATTCCAAGATGCTTCAAACCCAGTAACTTTGGTGTGGTTGTAAGAAAGGAGCTGCATCACTTCTCGGATGCCAGCACCGAGGGCTATGGTCAGTCCAGTAACATCAGGCTTCAAGATGACTCCAGTAAAACTCATTGTTCATCAGTTGCCAGTAAGTTGCAAGTAACTCCCCTGAAACCCGTCAGGGTTCAATGCCTGGAGTTACAAGCTGTTGTGACTGCTGTAAAGGTTAGCCAACAGATACACAAGGATTTGAGCCTCAACAACATTTAAGGATTCTTCTGGTGTGACAGCAAAGTAATGTTAGGCTAAACTGCCAATGAAAGTCATAGGCTCCATGTTTTTGATGCCAATTGGGTTCAGCTCAATCAAGACTTGTCTACAATGGATCAGTGGAATCACATACAAACCAAGGTAAACCCATCAGATGATGCTTCCCATGGCCTAAGCCCAAATGTGTTTATGGCTTTTAAGTGGTCAAAAGGCCCTGCATTCATCTGGCAGAACAACGGTGAGTGGCCCATTGATGAGAAGGAATGTATGCCAGATCCCAATCAAGTGTTGCCATGTGATCCTAAGGTCAAGAAGATCACAGTCTTAGTTACGAGTGCAGCAATCAGGGAAGTGAAAATTGAAGAACATTTAGACTGCTTTTCAGATTGGTTCCATGTGAAAAGGGCCATTGCTTGAAGTCTTCTTTACCTCAAGACTCTGCAAGAGCAAGTTTCCACAAAGCGTAAAGGTAGAATCAAGAGGGTGAAACCCCAGATTCAAAATTTCCAGGAGGCTGAGAATGTGATCATCAAGTCTGTCCCATCAACTGCCTTTCCAGAGGAAGTCCGTTTGCAGAAGGCCACCCAAGATGTCACACCTCCCAAAGACAAGTCTTCAGCACCTATCAGGGAAGTAGATTTAACAAAGAACTCCACTCTGCAAAAGCTGGATCCCTTTGTTGACTTCCAGTGAATTCTTCCCATTGGTGGTCACCTAAGTAATACCTCACTCTCATTTGGAATCAAATACCCCCTGATTTTGCCTAAGAGAAGTCACATGACCACCCTTAAGGCACTTTCATGAGAAGGTACAGAACCAAGGGGGGGGGGTATGACCCTAAACAAGATGAGAGCTGACAGTTGCTGGATCATCACGGGAAGAAAAGAAGTCTGAAGTTATATCTGGAGATGTGTTGTCTGCAGGAAGCTGCATTCTTCAGCTGTGGAGCAAAAGATGGCAAATCTGCCAGAGGATCATTTAGAGCCCATTGCAGCCTCCACAGATTCCACAGTTGATTACTGTAGACCTTTCACCATCAGGGAGGGTAAGAAGGAAATGAAGGGTTACAGAGTTGTCTTTACAAGTTTAGCTTCAAGAACAGTTCACCACAGCACTTCCAGTAAACTCGAGACAGATGCCTTTATCAACGCACTTCATCATCTTATTTGCCAGAGAGGTCAGATACAATTTTGTGTAAGCTAAACATGAGCTGAAGGCTGCAGTTGCAGAGCTGGACGACAAATGTGTCCGAAAGGAGGTCCTGCAAGAGAACTGTTATTGGATCACCTTTGTTATGAATGTTCTGTCTTCAAGTCATAAGGCTGGAGTTTGGGAGCAACAGATCCAGTCTATTCAAAACAACCTGTCCCCTCTGCTGCCATCAGCTGACAAGTTCTGAAGAAAGCATTGGGAGCACGTTCAACATCTAGCAAAAAATTTTTTGACTGGCTGCAGCAAGAGTATCTACCTAAGAGTATCTTTCTTCAGCAGCGTCAGAAATGGAGAGACATGTTGATAATGTTGTCATTACCAAAGATGATAATGCCCTCCATAGTTGCTGGCAATTTACATGCATTGTCGCAGCTAATCAAGGCACTGGTGGTTGTGTTCATATAGTGAAGCTGGCCTTGGTTAGTGCCTGTCTTGAGGAGAAAGGAAGAAGAGTTGGTAAAGTAAAGTTCCTGAAGCATCCTGTTCAGAAACTTGTTTTACTGCTGTCAAAGAATGGGTATGAAACAGAGTCCCAGGGTGAATCCCAGCCGATAGCCCTTAGTGTAACTGGTCCTCAGTCAGACTGATATAACAAAGAATACTTTAGAGACTGAGTTTTGCATTATTATTATTAGTGATTTTTATTAATCCTTTTATAGTGAAACACTATTGTGCTTCAGGGGAGCCATGTAATTGTGTGGCTGTGTATTACAGTTGGGTTACAATTTTGCCCTTTGATCTTTTGGGTCTCAATTTCACCTAGTTTTTGTAGTTTTTGTATACTCTAAGTCATTAGTTGTAGTTTGTGTTTGTTGTTGTCGATTACACTAGTTCCTCTTCACCTATTGATTTCAGTTTACAAGACAATATAGACAATTATGATAAAGATCAGCAGTTAAGTTGGTTAACTGTCTCCATAACTGTAGCGCTTGTTCCTATTGGATAAATACCTTAACTGTTACATAATTTTTATTGTAGCTACTTCTCTTCGTAGAAGAGAAATAGCTATTATGTTATCAAATGTGCAAGTCCGTGAGTGGTCCAATCTTCAGATTGTGTTCGGAACATTTATCAATTTTATTTCAGATTATTGGTTTTAT